GATATAATGAATCTAGAAATAACTTCACAAATATGTTTTAAAAATTCAACTGCTTGAATATTAAAAAACAGAACAGAATCTTTTCTTAGTAACAGTGGGGTTGACTAGGAAACCAAACAGCAGTTACAGATTATTAAGAAATCAAGCACAATGAGAACCAGGGTTATGGAAGTATCTGGGATGGGGTAGAGTACCAACCATCACGGGGTGGGTGAACTGGGCCGTGCCAGCCCTCCTCACTGACCTGCTCCTCCTTGTCTACCAGATTGGGCTGTTCATCAGCTACGACAACGCCACCAAGCAGTTGGACACAGTTTATGACATCACACCTGAGACGGCCCAGGCGTTGCTAGAGAGGATCCGCTCCTCCAACTTTGACATGAGGAATACTTCTATCATCCACAGGCAAGGGGCGTGGGCTCTGGGTCCTGAGCCATTTCCCAAGATGCAATCAAAACACCAGCTTCCCCTGAGCAGCAAAAGACCCTAGGAGTGGGGGCTGATTGGTTCATCTCTTTGAACATTCCCACAGCTCTCTGTGCATGGGATGGAACGTGTTTCCTCAAGGAAACATCACCCTTTGAGGATTATGAAGGTGGCCAGGGAACGAAACATTTCTGAGCATCTTCTGTATGCCCAGCGTTGTAGACAACCCGGTTGAGCGCTCCCAAATTGAGAATGGAACATTTTAAGTACCCAGGCCAAATGGGTTTTTGTTTTTGTTGTTGAAAATGCACACAACAGAACACACACCAATTCAACAATCTCCACATGTACATTTCAGTGACCTTGATTACATTCTTCAAGTTGTGTAACCATTTCCCCCTCCATTTCTGTTCTTTCTCCATTTATATAAACTCACTGTCCGAGATGAATGCTTATCTCTGGTAGGCTGAGTCATGTCTCCATAATTCTACCAACAGTCTCTTCAGGCAATCCAGGTTGTTAAAAGTGTCAAGAGTGTTCATTACCCGGTTCTCAAACCGCTTTCACGGTTTGGGTACTTGCTAGAGCAACACCAAATAGCTTTATGGCCTTCATAGTTTGAATTCCAGCAGGGAGTCCCTCAGATGGGCTCAGATCCATAGATGAGACCAGGAGTAGTATTGAGTGATTGTAGCCTGATCCCCGGGAGCCGTTTCCAACAGGGGAGGGCCGGGAGCTGTGCATCTGATGAGCCCAGGGAAAGACTAACTCTGTGGATGTCAAGCAAGGTCTTAATGGCAGAGGTAGGAGTGTGTGTTGGGAACTGTTCAATTGTATTCTCTTCAACTCTCACCTCAGCCCACTGTCTTTGAATTTTCTAAGATGGGCCATTTTTAGGGAATGTACTCATATGAAACTATAACACTTCCCAATCCTTTGTAATTTTCATCCATTAGTATTTGTTAAATTTTTACAATGATTTTTTAAAAAAAGCCAATGGTTAAGAATGTGGACTTGGAGTCTTGCTTTCTGTATTTGACCTGGCTCTGTTACTAAAAGTTGTGTGATCTTATGCCTCTATTTCCTCATCTATAAAATGGGAGAGAATAATCTGCCTGTCTCATTAAGGGCCTGGGATATTCAATCTTCAACGTTCTCTCAAGTCTTCTTAGGGTTCTTGTTGCTGTTGTTAAGTGCTGTCCAATTACTCCTGACCCATGTTGTTGTTGTTAAGTGCCGTCAAGTCGATTCTGACCCATAGCGACCCTGTATAGGGTTTCCAAAGAGCAGCTGGTGAGCTTGATCCACCAACCTTGTAGTTCAAACGGCTTTGCAGTCTGGTGCATTAACCCACAGCACCACACCAGGACTCCTGACCCATAGCGACCCTGTATAGGGTTTCTGAGGAGACGCTGGTGAGCTTGAGCAGTTGACCTTGAGGTTCAAACCGACCTTGCTGTCCAGTGCTTATCGTACAGTGCCATACCAGGACCCTAACAGATGGATAGTCGGATGAATCTAGATTTAAGTCCTAAATTTATGACTTGCCTTGGACAAGTTACTTGATCTGTGAATCTTGGTTTATTCTATGAATGGGGCTAATGAGAGCTCCTCCCTGGTAGATTTATTTTGATGAGATAATTGCTGCAGAAGACTCAGCAAACGGTACCTCACTGGTTCTGATTTGGAAGGGGGACTGTGGTTGTGCGCGCCCCCCCCAGCATCACTTGTCTTCTCGCACAGGCTGGGACTGCTGGTTTGTTTCTACGATGACGTGGACTTCCTGGATTCTGCTGTGGCCCAGGTGCTCCTTCATCAGATGATCAAATGCAGCCACCTGCGGGGCTCCCAGGCCGGCGTTCACAAGGTGCAGACAGGCCGCTGCTTTACTTCAACTAGCCACAGAAGTGGAGACAAGCGTCTTATCTGGTCGTCTGGAGACAGCACATAGGGTTCATTAGGATCTAGATCCATCTTCAGCAGGTGGGATCTCAAATATTTGTTGTTGTTGTGTTCAGTGCCATCGAGTCAATTCCAACCCATAGTGACAGGGTTTCTGAGGAGCAGCTGGTGAGCCTGAACCACTGACCTTGCAGTTCAAATAATTTTGTAGTCTGACACATTAGCTAGCCCACAGAGCTATACTGGGACTCCATTAAAATGGAGAAAAATGACTGAAAAAAAAAAAAAAAAGTCAGCATCCGTGGAAAACTTGAGTAGTTAAAAAAATTCAGCTAGAGCAGTACATTAATGCACATCAGGATCACAGGAGTCTTAGAGCAAATGCTGATTTGGAGGTCTGGGAGGAGCTAGAGGTTCTGCACTCCCGATGAACTTCAGAGGCTGGTCAGCAGCCATATTTTGAATGGCGAGGAGATGAAATAGTGGTTCTCAACCCTGGACAGACTGTGAAACCCAGGAGAGCCGCGGTTCTGCCCTGCCGTGACCATTTTTCTATCACTTTCTATTTAGTGGAACTTGTGTTTTCCTTCTCTGACAGGTTTTTAACTTATACAGATTCCAGCTCTTACAACTTTTACTGTGGATAAATCACATCTATGTCCAAGCACCACCCTAGGAGAGTCTAATGTCATTGGTGTGGCGTCCTTGACTGGCGTGAAAGGTTAACTTGTTCAGCTGTTATGGAAAGGTTTGAGGTTCAAGTCCATTCAGAGGCACCTCAGAAGAAAGGCCTGGTGAATACTTCTGAAAAATCAGCCATTGAAAATTCTGTGGCATGCACTTCTATTCTGACATGCATGGAGTCACCATGAGTTGGAATGGACTCAAGGGAAACTGGTTTCTGGCGGCCTGGGTATGGAATGGTGTAACTCCCCAGGTGATACCAATACAATCCAGGTTGTATTGGTATCACCTAGATTACCCAAACCAAATTCACTGCCTCTAGTTGGTTCTGACTGTATAGGACAGAGTGTTATAGTCCTATAGTGTTTCCAAGGTTGAAATCTTCATGGACGCAAACTGCCTCATCTATCTCTTGTAGGGCAGCTGATGATGGGTTTAAACTGTCGACCTATTAGTTAGCAGCCAAGCATTTAAACCACTGTGTCACCAGGACTTTTGAACACCAGGTCACCTAGTGGCCCGCTGCCACTGGATGCATTCCAGCTCATAGTAACCCGCTCGGGCAGAGTAGAACTCTGAGGGTTTCTGAGGCTAAATCTTTCCAGGAGCAGAGGAGCAGACAGCCTTTGTGTTCTCCACTGGAGCGGCTGGTGGGTTTGAACTGCTCACCTTGTGTTAAGCAGACTAATGCTTAACTTACTGTACCACCAGAGCTCTGAACACTGGGTTAGAGAATATTAACTCAGTTACTAGACCAGGTGCCATGGTGGCTTTGCAAGATAAGTACTGGACTGTGAATCACAATGTGAGACTTGCTGTTCCTGCAAAGATTTCTAGCCTCGAACATCCTGAGTTCCAGCTATTGCAGAGCTCATTGCTCGTCCAGCTATAAGTCAGAACAGACTTGATGGCACTTAACAACAACGGGCCAGGATTCTTCACAAATAGGCAAATGAAGACTTTCTTTCACCCCACCCCCATCTCTCCATTTTTCTTCAGCCTCTCAATTCTGCACCCCCTTTACTTTCTTTCGGTCCTTCTTTTCTATAGGAAAGATGATTTAAGCAATATTAAAGAACATTGTGATCAAATCATCAATGACTCCACAGCAGTTTCCCACACATAGCCATAGAGCCCCCCATCACATCTGACACCCAATACATCTGAATCTTCTCTCTCCGTCAGTGTGGATTTATGTTTTCAAGAAGAGACCCTCTCAAACAAGTTCAAACAAAAATAAGAACATCAATGTAAATTTTAAGGCTTTTGAGGTAGCTGTGGTGGCCCTGCCCATCAAGGAAGTCAGAGACAACTAGATCTGAGAGGACCCATGGAGGATTTTAGTCCAGTGGCCCTCGAACTTGATGATACATCACAATCAGCTGGCCTGCTGTTAGTTGGTGTTGGTTCATGGTGGCCTCACGTACCACAGAATGAAATGATGTCACCACCTGTCAGTTTGCTGTGGTGGCTTGCATGTGGCCATGTTTCAGAGGGGCTGCCAGACCGAGACAAACTAGGAAGAAGGGCTGGTGATCTCCTTTCAGAAATGAGCCAATGAAAACCCACCTTATGGATCACCTGGAGGGCTTGTTTAAACCCAGGTTCCTGGGCCCCATGTGCATATCTGGAGTGGGGCCTGAGAATTTGCATTTCTAATAAGCTACCAGGTGTGAGGTCTGATGGTCTGAGGAGCACATCTTGGGAACCCCTGCTCTGGTCCATCTCTTTGTTTTACAGATGTGGAAACGAAGCTAGCAAGGGAAGTTGTTGAAGTTAGAGAACTAGACAGGTGCACAGGTGTTGCTACAGCTGTTATTCTATTTCTCTCTGCTGCCTCCCTGTGGCCATTTCAATATTACCTGGAGCAGTTGTGTGCACACAGCTGTTTAGACCTATCTTGCTCTATTGCACGTCACAGATACTGTTTTTTTTACAGCCCTGTGTTGAGCAAGTTTATCAGTGCCAATTTTCCAAAAGCATGGGCTGACTTCATGTCTCTGCATTACATTTTAGTAGTTCTCATAGTATTTTAAACTTTTTATTGTACACTTAGATGACTATGTAATGTAAATGTAACTTCCATATGCATTGAGAAAGAAAACAAAAGGTGACTCACTCTGTAACTCTTTATGGTGATGGTCTGGAATGGAAACCATAGTTTCTCTAGGGTATTGCCTTTACACTGTGCGTGAAAACCCAAAACCAAACCCATTGCCTAAGAGTGGATTCCTACTCACAGAGACTCTACTTAGGATTCTTGAGAGTGAACAACTTCGCAGGAGCAGACAGCTTCCTCTTTATCCCCTGGTGTTACTGATGGGTTAAACAGCCAGCCTTGTGGTTAAAAGCCCAACATCTAACTCAGAGCTCCTCCAGGGTTCCATTTATGATGCATACAAATTCATGTGTTGAAGCGTATACCATTCTTGTTCTTTGTGCAAAGGTCATGTTATGATAGGCAAACCTTTCACTTGCTCTATGAGAAGCAGTTGGAAACACACTTGACTTGTTGTTAAGTGCCATTGAGTTGGTCCCGACTCATAGTGACCCTGTGTAGGGTTTCCAAGGTGCGGCTGGTGGGTTTGAACCACTGACCTTGAGGTTCAAATCAATCTTACGTCCAATGCTTATCCTGTAGCACCATGCCAGGGCTCCATACACTTGACTAGGTAGGTGTATTATACTAAAATAATTATTAAGGTGATCATACAAATATGCAAACATGTCAGAGACATATTTTTAAATGAAAAAATATAGAATAGAAAATTGCACTTGCATTCATTTCACTACTATGTAAAACATATATTTGATGTATTTATAGAAGCATAACAAGGCTTGCTAATCACAGTTATGAGATAGGATTTTCAGAAGACTTACTTTCCTGTACTGTTGAGAAACATTTTTACACAGATGATGTATTATCGGGAAAAAAAAATACCACCGGATATTTCATGAAAGAGAGACAACCACATATATGGATGTATGTAGTTCAAGGTCAGAAAGGAAAAATAGCAAGTGTGTGTGGGGGGGAAGTTATGCTCTGAGTGAATAAAATTCCTTTCTGCTATGCTTTGGAGTTGATTTTATTCCAAATTAACATTTAAATGAAGCACAAAGAGAATTTGCAGCACATAAAGTCAAGGCCAGGGAATTATTTTGTGTGGGAGGAGGGGTGACTTAGTGTCTGGATGTGACGAAAGGCCTTTTCTCTTCTTGTCTCTGGGCTCCAAGTCTTGGAGGGACAGCTATGAAGAGGATGGGGTAGAGGTCGTACACCCTGGGTGGTTGGTCAGTGGAGTGGGGGGAGATAACACCTGGGGTTCTGTCAACCTTCAGCCTCCGCTTTCTCCCCTTCCAGCTCAAAGCAGACATCCTGGAAATTGCCACCAAGAACCAGACCCTCAATGAGACGCTGGGCTCTTTGTCAGATGCAGTTGTGGGCTTGACCTACAGTCAACTGGAATCCCTCTCCCCTGAGGTTGTGCATAGTGCCATCTCCACCCTCAACCAAGTCTCAGGCTGGGCCAAGAGCCAGGTCATTATCTTGTCTGCCAAGTACTTGGCCCATGAGAAGGTTAGTTGGAGTGGTGAACTCTTCCTTAGTGCCTGAGACCCACACAGCAGGGGCAGCCAACCGGTGGGAGGATAGTGATGAGGACCATGTGGGTTTGAATCCTCATTTTGCCATTTATAGCTATGGGATACTGGGAAATTTGCTTAAGTGCTCTTGCTGCTGGACTCTTTAGGGACTCCTGGCTGTTGAGGTAGAGACTATACTGGTGACAGCAACCCTGTGTACAACAAAATGAAACACTGTTTAGTCCTGTACCATATTTATAGGCATTGCTATGTTTGAGCCCATCATTGCAGACACTGTGTTGATCCGAATTATTGAGGGTCTTCGTCTTTTTGGGTGACCTTCTACTTTACCAAGCATGATGTCCTTCTCCAGGGAATGGTCCTTCCTAATCACAGCTCCAAAGTGTTGTTGTTAGGTGCCGTCTAGTCAGTTTTAACTCAATGCAGCCCTGAGCAGAACAGAATGAAACCCTCTGCATCCTTATGATTTGTGTTATGCTTGATCCCATTGCTGCTCCAACTCGGCTAAAATCCGTGAAACGACGTCTTATCATCCTGACTTCTAAGGAGCAATCTAGCTGTACTTCTTCCAAAGACAGATTTTGTTAGTTCTTTGTCAACACCATGAGTCATAGGTACCAATTCTTTTGTGGTCTTACAATCATTCCCCAACTTTTTTTTTTTAATGTTTTATTGTGAATTATATGATAGTTTACATGAGAGAACTTTAGTTTTACCTTCATTCCATCGTATATCATCTCATTGTCATGGTTTCAATCCCCTCCATGCATCA